CATGACAATATTCATACATAGTGATAGCGCCACCTACTGGCAACAGGAAGTAAGCGCTGCGTGGCGATTTTGAGCTGATTTACGTGAAATTTTCATGTTGTGGTCCGCACGTGTTACGACGGCAAGTGACGCGGCCGCAGCATGCCCGAGTTGCGTTGAGTGCGAGGTCCCGCCCAACGCTGCTTGCAGCTTTAATTGGTCTTGTGTTTCCTCCCACTTAAGACAGAAGAAGTCAGAAGAGCGACGAGGAAGGAGAAATCAAAGAAAAGCGCATTTCCTGAAATGAGACTTCCTTCCCAGTCCTGTACCATCTGAGCACATTCTGATGATAGCTGTGTGGCATCTAGTTGCCTTGGAGTTGTGAAATATTAGCCTATGCATATTGTCATGCAATCAGTACTTTGGCAAGCATCTACACATGCACAGCAAAGCTGTATTTAAATTGTACCGGTCAGTAAAACCAAGTAAAGAAAGTCTTTAGTTAAACCCCCTAGGAGTAGACATTTTACGTGATTATAGGATCTTTTCAATTATTTTCATTTTAGGTTTTTAGAAAAATTAGACAGTCCATGTGAAAATTGGTGCTGTTTGTGTTTCTTTCAGAAAATTATTTTCCCAGATCAGATCCACTACAAGTTTGCAGGAGTAATTGACTCCTCCTCCCGCCCCTTTTTTTGCTCTGAGATCCAATGACAGTTGAGCAAGCCTTGGTCAGAACCTTGGTGAACTTTCTACTTCCTGTACTTAGATATGCTATGTGCTAGGCTCATCTAAATTCAAAAGAAAACCAGATTACGAAGATGGTTGAAACATATAAAATGACTGATTTTACCAAAATAAGCTATCTTGAGAGGTGACTGTATATGTCACTTTTATCTATTAACCATCTTTAAAATGTGGTTGTCTTTTCAACAGAGAGCCTAGCATGTAGGAAGTTGACCAAGATTCCAAAAGGGGTGGGATTTAGGAATAATACCAGCATTCAGTTTCCAAAGCCATAAATTCATTAATTCTAAACATGGGGGCTTTAATCTATAAAAAATTAGAGGATCTAAAAACAATTAAAGGATAAGGCTGGTATTATTCTGTCTTCTAATTGTCAACAAAGACCAAAACAAAGACCGAAACCAAAAATGTGTTAGTCCATCTCAGTATGCCCCAAATCCTCTACCCTGTCTGTAGCACTGATAGCTGATTGGACCCCATTGAAAACGTAAATTCTATTTACTTTACAAAACAGCTGAGAATTGGAGTTTGTAACAAATGTCACTAGAACACTTGTAAAGAGTGCATTAGTTAGGGGCTATTTCCAGCCATGGAATAGGTGAGTATTTAGGGCAGCATTGATGTGGTTTTCATAAATTTTGGACAAAAATGGAGCTCTATGGCACGGAGGAATAAGATATATCAGGCTTTAGATACATACACAATACTTGTTAGTAGGATACATTCATTGTTAGTTTTGGTCTTTCTATGGGATTTGCTTTTGAAGAAAAATATATCCATATAAATATCTTTATTTTTCTACACATATCCAATCTGTCTAATTACTTGAGGAATTAGAAAATAAATAAAATACAGAAAGTGAAATTAATGTTTTAATGTTATCGGCCTATACCAGCAGTTGATAGTGTTTTTGTAGAGATGCCACTTCAAAACAGCATCCAGTATGCAGTCATTTAAAGATAACAGGGGAGGAGTGTGTCCTTATGAAAAGACTTTAGGTTCCTCTGAGCAGAACAGAGCTTTCTCATGGCGGACATTTTGATTTGTCTAATACAGGCGTAGCATAATGATGGATACTTTCCACTGCCAGGGCTCTATTCTATTCAGCTGGGTCTCTGACATGGCTTGTAGAGCCACCATTAATATTATTAGTTCCACCGGTGCTCTTCTTGCTATGTCAAAATGTCTCCTCTGAAAAAGGTCTATTAAGGGAACGAGATTGTTTATGATGGCAGATTGGATCGATTTCAGGGACACACAAGGAAAGAGGAATGAAAAGACTCACAACATTGTCCAATAACATTTGACACATACTGTATAAACTGTACGGCTGAATTCACAAAGGCTCAGAGCCAATAAATATATGTAATATTAAGCAATTTCCTTTATATTCTAGGTAAATTATGACTCTTTTCAAGCTGAAGAAACGTGACAAGCTTCAACCTGTTAAGCTCTGTTCACTCAGGGATAAAGGTTTGCATGTCCTGAAAGTGTTTCACATTTAAAGGATTTTTTACCAGGAATATTTAGTTATAAGTGAAGCAACAAAGCTTCATCAGCTTTTTCCAGTTTTTAGATAGGATTTGTTCATAGTCTTGTTGTCCTGTAAGCAGGTGTCATATATCGTAAACTGGAAACATATAGTAGCTCTTGGCTCGGAGAACCCTGTGCTCTGGGTAGCCAACCTCCAAGGCAAGATAATTGTCTATCTTGCATGAGACCAGTCTAAAAGCACTAACTCTACAGACTCTATCTTTTGAGCTATTAAGAAGTACATCCTGAAGAAATTAACAACATGAGGTAAAATCACCTCGAAAGTGATGTGCTCTCTATGCACTGTTTTTCTAAAAGTGAGAAGTGAGCAATCTGTTCTTGTGAAGAAATCCATACAAGAGGGTGCCCCTGACCCAGAGTCAGAAAACAATTCCATGTGGATGACAGAAAACTGTTTTTGATATTGACCAGTGTGCAAAATGAATTCTAACTGATTAAGGTAATGGGTTTGTTTCTTGTAGAGTAGTGTGAAGTGTACCGGTGAAACAGTGTTGTGTATCATGTAGTTACTTACGGAGTTTCCATGCTTTTTCTGCAGTGGGTTATGGAAAGTGGGGGGTCTGGAAGAAGGGAGACAGAAAAGATCATTATTGCCATTTAAGATAAGTTCGAAAAAACTACATAAAGTTTGTTAGTTAAGTATGTTTGTAAGCATTCATTTCAGAACTATTCAAATAAAGGAGTTGAAGATGAGTAATGAGTAATACACTTGTTTCGTGGCATTCAGGCAGAGAGTAAACACTGAAGTTAAAGTGTAAATGGACTGGACTTTACTAAGGACTAATGCACTGTATACAATTATTTTTTAAGCAAGCCTCAAAGTCGCTGAACGTCTGATTGACAATTGCGAAAACGTCCTTTTGGTATTTGTGATAAATAACACTAATCCAAGACATTTACATAAAAGGTTTATAAAAACTTGATTCCCCAAAGACGACATTAGTGCTGCTGCTGCCGAGCCTGGAGGGACAGGATAACAGTAAAATACAAAAGACACTTCAATAAAAAACATAAAATATAATGAGTTACTATAGCCATAGCTGCTTCTTAAGTGTCATTAAGCTTCACTTCTGGCTTATATTCTCAGTCAAACAATTACATTGCTGTTTCCTGTTTGAGCATGCAGTTAAAGCTGAGATGAGATGAGTCACAAAGCAGCAGGAGGCTGCACTTCAAGTAAAGGATTCATGTAAGTTAGGTAACATATGTTAAATGTGTCAGTTACATTTACCATGAATGTTTTTAAAGCTAAAACAGTGATAAAGACACCCAGCTAATGTTACATCATCATGTAGGAATCAGATTTTTTGTTATATTTTAAAACTTCCCTAAAAATTGGCTTAAAATTGTGTCTACTAATGAGAGGGACATTCCCCCCTCACCTCTTTTCCTCTTAAGCTTCCGCCGGCGCTGCTTGTTGACGAAGCAGGCAGCCATCGTACTGAACAGGACAGCTGCTGCCAGGAAGCAGATGGTGGCCACAATGCCAGCCACCACAGGTCTCGCCAGTCCACGCTCCTCTACCATCTCTGGAGGAGGGAAGAAGTCTGTGAGGCAAGGACGGAAGAGTCAGCAACCAGTTGAAGGCACAGTGTAACAGCTAAAATTATGATGTAAAAAAAAAAAAGAGGGACATGACAGTAGCTGGCTCACCCAGAGGTGGAGGAAATGATAAATACAGCAAACAGACTAAAGAAACAAATGTGGCCCAAAGTTAATGCTAATGTCGACATTAATTTTCTGGCTCTGAAATAGCGGGTGATATTTACTATGAGATTACTACACAGACATAAGTCCCCTGAAAGAATGCACTGTGCAATGATTAGGCAGCTATTTAATGATATCAGACACTGAATGAGGATTTTCAGATGTTTATTGGGGGGTTATGCATATAAGCCCCTTTTGTTCATTTCCCTTATGTTTTTGCCACTCTCGCTAATAAAAAAGAGGAGCCTTATCCTGTCATTTGTAGGTTCCTGCAGAGGACTTTTTGAAGGGCCTATTAAAGGAGTGTTTCTGCCATATCCAGTTAGATTCAAATATGCTACAGTTGACCTTTACTACTGCACGTGTCTTCAAAATGTACATTTCTGCAGGGAGTATGCCATGATCACCTAGCAGAATGTAAACCCTTTTATTTAAAAATTATCTGCATTCATAACTTAAAGTGTAGAAGACTGTAGAGGAAAATTAAATGATGAAGCTACATGTGCAGTGTATTATTATATTATGCATATTAATATAATATTATATATTATGGGGCGGCTGTGGCGCAGAGGCAGACCGGGTAGCCTACAGTGTGCAGTGGTATTATTTATATTTATGCACTATTAATAGGTAATATTATATATTTATGGGGCGGCTGTGCCGCAGAGCAGACCGGGGTCGTCCCCTAATTGGAAGGTTGTTGGTTCGGATCCCGGCTCCTGCGTGGCCACATTGTCAAACGTACTCCTGTGAGCAAGATACCCTGAACGCCCGAATTTCTCCGCGATGCCATGCATCGGTATGGTTGAATGTTGTATCTGAATGCATTAGTTTCTGTTCTGATGGGCCTTTGACTATCGCTGTGGTCGAATTTGGCTCGTGAAAGGGTGAATGTGGCACAGATTAGCTGTAAAATGCTTTTGAGTGGTCGGAGACTAGAAACACCTATACAAGTACAGTCCATTTACCAGTTTACCACTACAGTCTACCATATTATTATCTGGTCTGTTGCTACTAAAGTTTGTCCGATTCGTATCGAATTCTCCGAATACTGCTACAATTCAGTAGCGAGTATTTGGTTGAGTACATGCGTCTGTGCATCCAGATCAGATACCGCATCATTTATGCTAGCACAGAAACAATGTCTTTAGTTGGTTTTGGTTTATAAACAGACATTATTGAGGTGTTCTAATCAGTATTTTATATTTATTATGTATCATTATAGAGGTAGACAAGACAAATTACACCACTTTACAAGCTGCAATAATAAAGTGATGCGACACATAATGCATCAGTAATTATAATCTATTAATATCAATATATAAATAATCTTAAACAAGGCCATTTCTGGTATCTGAGGTACTTTTACGTTGTTGGTACTTTCGCTAGGGATTTTGATGCTAGACTTTTTGTATTAAAGACAGTGGTCTCTGGTGGTCATCTACTAATGTTAGAAGTAATTTAAGAGTATGTAGACAAGGATCTGAGCAGTGGCTTGCTGGAGGGCTCAATAAACAATAAAAAGGGCACCAGTGTGGCACAAAGTTGTCATTCATTCATGGTGAAACCAATTGCAATAAGGGCACTTGCATTATACCACTGGAACACTGCTCTATGGTGACAGCAACAGTATTTTAAAATGGTTCAATCCACCATCTGAGGCCATTATATACAGGTTTTATAACAACTCATCGTTTTTTCTTATGATCTCATCGATCCACGTAGTTATCTGTTAATGTATGGTTGTTGTTGTTGTTGTGTACATCTGTTTGTCTCCTGTCTCTCTCTTCCCCAGACGGTCAGAGGGCCAATGACCACCCACTAGAGCGAAGGTGTCTGGTTCGAGGTTTCTCTGTTTAAAAAGGCAGTTTTCTTCCCCCGTTGCCAGAGAGCTTTGCTCATGGTGCGTACTGTTTGGGTCTCGTAATGTTATAATGGATTCGGTCTAGGACTGGCTCTATTTGAAAAGTGTCCTGAGATTAACTTCTGTTGATAATTGGCCTTTATAAAATAAAAATTTAATTGAATTGAATTTCAAAATAATCAAGAAGATGTATGTTCTGTTTATTACTCCAGGGTACTTTACTCATTGACTAGAGCTGGGCCCACTGTGCGCCTAGTATTAGGATTGGACAGAGGACAAAACAATTCTCGTCCATTCAGAACTGCAAAATGTTTTACAGTCTGACAGAGACATAAAATGTTAATGCTTAAGTTGGAGCAGCGAGCCCTTCAGACAGGAAAAAAAAAATCACTTGAATCCTGAATATTTGGAGAAGACATGGCTGTATATGAAAAACAGACATGAAAGCTAGTTTTCCATTCAAGGGCATAAACACGTTATAGACAATTCTTTGTGAAAATATGCACATTTAGAACATTTCTCAAACTACATTTGAATGTACATTTAGTTTAGTGGCTGCCCCTCCACTTCATTTTTGTATTGTTTTGAACGACAGCTAATGCTGAACTTAAACAAAAAACAGAGTATCCCTTTGTCAAAATGTCAGTGGACTGTAAGTTTTTGTATAAGTTATTTGTATTTTGTTGATTTATTTAAAAATAAAAGTCTGTACAGTTCATCATGGATGGAAAGAATTAAACAGAAATTATTTTCATTAAAACTATAGATGTATATGTCTGTGTGATACTAAACTGTTCTCATTGTAAGCGGGAGTCACACTTCTGTTTTCGGAAAAAAATGAAAAATAAATAGGAAATAATTAGAGACAAACCTGTAGACAGACATATTTCAGATATTTTCTACTGCATATTGGGAAGACACGCTTAATGAATGTAAAGAATGATTTTGAAAACAACCATAATCATATTAATTTAAACAATTCAGAGAATCTGAAATAATGGTTTGTGAACTGGTCTGAACCATATTTTAGTGCTACATCTCTTCCATATTTCCTGATGCTTTGTTCAACATAACTGGCTGCACTCTTCAGCTCGTTAGGCTCAGATGCCAGAATTAATGCGACCGGCACGAGTTGTGCTCAAACAATATCATTACGATAATGAAAACCCAGCCAGTGTGCTGGAGAGGACACTGTGCTGTGCAGCTACTTTAATTCCTGTTACGGATCTACCAACTTTTAGAGCTGTCCTCTGTTATTAATGCTGGAGTTATCCTAGTGACCTACATGCTAATGAATCGCTCAGTGAGGACCAGGGGGGACAATGTGTCAACCTTTATTATGAACTTGTTAGAGTGGTTTATGTGCTGCAGTGAAGCATGACACAGCAAAATGCAAAGTATTCTAGCTCCAACAATATTGGTACTTAGAATAATTACTGATCAGCCAAAGAACACCTTTGTCATCTTTGGTAGCACAGTGTGCATTCACATCCTGTTTGATACTAACTGACAGTATGCCCAGAGAAAGACATTAATACCAGATCAACTGAGTATGAGGAGCCTTTTTTCTCACTACAGTGCATAGCTCTTTATCTTTACCAGTAGGGGGCAGCAGAGTACTTCCAGAGCTCCAAAGGCTCCTGAGCAAATCTTCTCTATAAATGCTACCAACAGCTGCTCTTACCAAATGATGTGTACTCAGTGACCTCTGCAGGGGAGCGACATCACGTTTTGATGGGTTTTAATTTCACATTGGAAACAGACTTTCAGCATCGAGGCCAAAAAGAGACTGGCTTTAACGAATCTCTTTTTAGTGTGAAGCAGAGCCGATGCAATCCGTGGGAGACTGGCACAGAGATGATGTCATACTCTTTAGGATGCTACAGAGGGGTGTGCATGTAAAGCAAGCTTAAATTTAACAGTGCTGAATGGGCAAAATGCAAAGTTGGAGTTGCTGCATGTGCAATTCATCCAGGGCCCCACCTCAGCTCCAAAAGGTTAAGATTGCCTGAGGGCAGAGATACTGCCAGAGGTTGTCGGGTTGAATCCCAGCATTGACAAGAAAAGCTCCTCTGAACTCGAGACAGTGAGCAGAGTTTCAAGAACTCCCTTTGTTCTCTCACTCTCTGATTCATTTTCCATGCACATATATTGTATAATGCAGAGTTCATACATTTGACATTTGTACGTCTATATTTAACACTACACCACATCACCTACAGATTATAAAGTATTCGTAACATTGATACTCTATAGTATAGTATATGTTACAATTCCCGAACATATCCTAGCCAAGATGGGTTTGGGGCTTGTTAGGCCTTTTATTGGATAGTGACAGGCGAAGATAGACAGGAAACAGGGAATGAAAGAGAGGGGCGATGACTTGCAGCAAAGGAGGCTGGATACTAACCTGGGCCACTGCAGTAAGGACTCTTAGTACATGGGGCGCACACTCTAGCAGGTGAGCTATCAGGGTGCCCCTAACCAAAATGTTTTTTGTGCCTAACCAAATGTTAACCACAGTGGTGTAATATCTGAAAACTGTTGTTAGGCTGTTGAGTGGACTATTTCAAATAAAGAGTTACCAAATCTGAGTATGAAAATACAAATATCAAATGTGTGAACCATAATTTATACAGTATATGCCGTATGCATATAAAATGAATAAACTAAACTAAAAATAAACAATCTATAGGGAGACTATCCAGATAAAGTGTAAATGATGACCACAGGTAAAATTTTATTTTAGTAAAGATCCTCTTTAAACATGCATTACAACAAATACAATAGTCTGCCTGGAACAAAAATGTGTGTCATTAAATTTGAAATCATTAAAAGTCATCTATTCTTTCTGCCTCATTAAAGCTTCCAGAATCTCTGAATACGCAAATGTTGTTGATTTATAAAGTTTTGCTGCTGAGACACCCACCAGATGTCTCCTACTTCACTGTGAACGTCCATTCTCAGTCTGGATGTGCACTGGGTCGGCCTTCTACATCACCAACCTGTCCAGTTGCATACTGGACACCAGGACTCGCGACGTAACCTATACTTACTCTCACAGAGACCAAGCAGACCAACGCATGACCAAGCCACCGTGGCAACGGGCGCGCGCGGGCCGCAAGGAAAAACTGCCTTTTTAAGAGGCAGAAACCTAGGACAGACCCTTCGGCTCTAGGTGGGTGGTCGTCTGCCTCGACTCGAATGTGGAAACATCCTTCTAGTGTCAAACTCTGCACATACATCATTCAAACAGCACACTGTGGGAACAGGAAGAAACACTGATTGACAGGAGGGGGGCTTTAAGTGATATATAATGGCTCACCTGTGCTGGACACTCCCACTACGTTGCTAGGTTCGCTGATCATGTCATCCATGACGGCCATGACACGAAACTCATACCATGCCTCCTAGGAGCAGAACAGAGAGATCAACATTCACCGGGTGAACCATCCGGATCTCACGTCTGGCATCAGAAAGGTTCAATCAGGCTGTGGGATTCTGATGGTGTCTCCAAAGACCAGCCAGCTAAGCCACCATGGCTTTGGAAATAAATTGTGCAGCTCAGTCAGTGACAGCTACTGTTTAGTTTTAGTAGCACAATGTATGAGATTTTAAAGTGAAACAAATGTGAGAACAGTGAAAAAAACATTAACTTTGAGATAAAAATCCTACATGAATGGCACTACGGAACCTAGAAGTCATGTATTACAAGCTGAATTTGGCTTGAATTGGATTTTTTTAAGTGGCACACCAGGTTTACAAATTTAAAACACACTACCCAGCCAGTGAACAGTTGTATAACTTCAGTGACTCTTCTTTAGGAGGAGGATGAAATGGGGTGTCTTTTTAGACTATGAAGGTAACGTTACTTTTATAAAATTGCATTAACTTCAGCCTGAAATGTGTTTTTCTGAAGAATCTGTAATGATCTCGCTGCGTCAGCTACAAATCAAAACCAACTTAGAACCAAAAACCACTGATGCAGCCCGGTCAGAATTTATTGGAGCACACCCAGCTATCGTGTCGCGATGCGGTGTGTGGGCTAACTATAGACTGTATAGTTAACAATGGATGTAGTCTCTGTGACGTCACCCATAGGTTTCTGAAGAGCTGTTGTGAAGCTCAGTATGGTTGACCCTGGTCGCTGCCCTCTTGGAAGACCTCCCGGCTAATGAAAAGCGTGGGTGGAGCTGAGGTGGGCCAAATGAAGCCTGGTTATCGAAAACAGCCGTCTGTGACAGCACCCACCTGCCACTCAAAGTGGCCATGTCTATAATTATATATAGCTTAAAATCATATCATATCACGAGGCTTTGCAGTGATTACAACAATATGTACAAAGAGAAACATGACAAGAATCTCAGTAGAAAATGAATGAGAGCAAATAAACTGTTTATATGAATATCATACATCACCTTTGACTAAGACATATTCAACCTCTTTTTCGTTTTTGTGGAGCTGGCTGTGCTCTCTCCACAGAGCAGGGTCAGCCACAGAACATCAGCAGTAGAGCTGGCACAGATTCAGCCAGTGTCTTGCTCAAGGACACTTCAGCAGGGTGCAGTACCTACTTTGCTGTATTGTTGGTGTAACACTCAAATACCCACTGATAAATATACTCTGGATTAAGTTCTCAGCTCAGTTGTTTCCGAAATCATCAGAAAAAATTGAGGATTTGAGTGTGGAGAAGAGTGTCATACCAAACATCATCACACCACCACTTTTACACAAACACACATGTGCAGACAACCAAACAGAGCATCCCTCCGGGGTCAAATTGCCTCAGCCGGTGCAGTAAGACATTTGCAGCCAAAAAAGTTACACAAGCTGGGTGCATTGTGTGTGCACAGTGAGAGAGCTGGAGAGAGGTGTGTGTGGGTGTTTGCCGTACATTGAAAGGAGAGATAAAAGCATCTGCATGTAGCTGAAAGTGGTAGTTAGATTAAAGAAAGAAGCTCAAACATGTCATTGTAGGAGAATTAGCCGACATGAGCAAGATGTGAAATGCTGAAAAAGAAGCATTGTGTCAGAGCTCATAAATCATTAAAGATAAACTGGTTGTCCTTTGCTGTGGAGAAAAAGACTCTAAAAAAGCATACTGTGTTCATAATTTCATAATTTTCTCTTGCAGACCTGCAGAAATACAGGACTGTGTGTGTTCTGGACTTCAGATACAACATATAAGAAAGAGTGAAAACAAGAAATGCCACACAGAAATGGTCAGAAAGTGAGCCCAGTCAGTGTGTTCACACCTGCATTGTTACTATGACAACCAAGGTGGCAGCACATTGTTATACATATGCAGAATCTGATCTGGGTACTTGTGTTAAGCCTCAGTGTTAAGCTTCTTTAACATAATGTTCACACTGGCAAGTTCATTAAACAGCTCCAGTTTGTTAAATCATATGCAGTCTGACAGCATCTAAGTGACCAACCAACTTGAAGAAAGAAAAGAGGCTAAACTTATGTAGAGACTTTTGGAATTTTTGGTTTTAATGTGCTAATTCACTCAAAAGCCGTCTTTACGGAGCTTTATTGTGAGTTTCAGCTCATTGTTTAGCTGTCTGGCTGCAACTCTACTGTTTTTTTGATTACATCATTTTCAGCTGTGGCAGGCCAAATGTTTGCAAACTACCTGCTCAGCACCAAACTGCATACAGACATGGTTAGTTAATTTAGCATTTAGCAACCAAAGAGATATTTCCCTCTGGAGTTGGTGAAGACCAAAACAGAGCTAATAGAGTGAATATTGGACTCACATTCATCAGGTGGACACAAACACAAAAATATTATTATTATTATTATTATTATTATTGCAGGTTTAGGCTTTCAATTTTTTTTTATATAACTTGTTTAAAGGTAAGTACAAATGATATAAAAGTATATTAATTTCGTGTTGATTTAACCTGTGTGCATGTTAGCAAAAGAAGAAAAAAGAAAAGAAGAAAAAAAGAAAACTAAGTACAACGGCTGGTTACTTGCAAACTATTATGAGGACGACTGTAAGTCAATTCACTTAGATGGACAACCTTACTTATTTTGAACAGAGTACAAGGAGGAGCTCAATCAAATGGAAGAAAAGACAATGGCCAAAAATATGACGATAACACCTAGGTTGAAAAATATCAACATTTTCCTTTAATTATGGATTAAACTGTCCTTTAGTCAAATATGAAAAGCCCCAGATATCCTCACACCTGATTTTTAGATCTTAAGCTAGGATGTAGATGTACTGTAACACCTAGGCACAGATAAAAATGTGATTTATTCCGTAATGCTTTACAATAACCACATTTACTTGTTAAAAAAGGGTTTCATTCAAAAATAACAGATTTATTTACATGTGTACTAGTATCCTGGTTATGATCGTGTTTTTGGAGTTTCCTGGTCATATTATGTGTATGGAAACACCTTACCTTGGTATTCAAGATTCCCCCAGCCCAGCCATCTCTTTATCCTGGAACTGGCAGATGTAGGTCCTGTATAATACTGTGTGTAAAGTCTACAGTCCGTGTCCTGTCTTTTACCTGGATGAGGTCTCGGGCGAGCAGCTCCGTCTCCCCAGCAGGAATGCCGTCGTCCAAGACCTCCCATCGTTCCCCCAGGCGAAACTCCATGACATAATGCTGGATAGGTGCTGTGTGATTGGCAGGCGGGATCCAGGTGAGCAGGACTCCCTGCTGCGTGCGATTGGCTGTGAGGCACCGTGGTGGGGTAAGCAGCACCAATGGTTCAGGGGTACTTATAGGAAATACTGGAAGAGCACATTAGGGTTGAGAATGTGTGTAAGTGACTATTCAGCGAGTGGTTCCTCCAGCATGATGCTAATGAATTACCCTTCCTTTACAAATGTGTCTTAAATAGACTGTGACTAGATGTGATTAAGCTTTTATATCATATGCATCTCCAACATATGCATAAAATTCACACTTTCCCATTGCATCCACAGCTATCCTGTCACTCTGTTGGCCAGTATGCTGTTATCCAATCCACTCATCTTCCCAGTCATATCTGTTATGCTAAAGTTTATTCTCATTTTCGTCGGCACTGAACTCACCCTGCATTCACACTTGTCAGGATATCTGACTTTAAACGACTGGTGAAAGACTTGACTATGTTAAAAGTTTTTTCAAAGCAGAAAGAGACAAAAGGCAGGCCCCTGAGATGTATGCTTTGTCTTCTTTGTTTCTACTCCCTGGCTGACACAGAAGGTGAATAGTTATCCCAATTTTCAGCATTTCACTTATCTTTAGGTAATAATCTGTGACAGCTTCATTTCAACTTAATAAATGTCCTTTTACTTACAACTGTAAGGAATGATATACTGCATAATGATTCAGCCAGAGCCTAGTTTAAGCTTTTACAAGGTTACTTCGTTGTTGCTGATACAATAAGAAAGGGTATTATTATCAGAGCAGTGTGTTAACAAGCTGTTGCAAAGATTTAGCTGGCAACTGTGGATTTCACCATCTATAATGACAACTGTCTGCCCTAAATTAATTCTGTAAGTTGGAAGAACAGCAAAAAGCAATGTTGGCTGTTGTCTGGTGAACAGCTTATTTGTAAAAAAGATGGTTTTGTGGATTATTGACATTTAAAAAAGTGTCCTTTTGCCATTAGTGGTAAGTCTTTTTGTACATAAATGATATAGGTGATAATGTCACATCATTGTCAGACAGGTAGTGAGCAGGTAGCCCAGCAGCTGTGGTGTTACTGGCCAACAATCAATATAACGCCACTTTTGAATCTCCTGATTATAACTGACCATTTTGAGGTAATGTCAAGTATGCCACTAACGTAATAGCTCAATGTGTGTGAGCTAAATGGTCAAATTTTTCTCTAGAACACTAACCAAGTTTACTTAGAGGTTTTTAGACTTTTCTCTGGCTGATTAAAACAATAAGAGCCTGGGAGGGGGGGGATAATGGGGTGGCACTTGGGGTGGCCAGTGTTACCCCAGGGACCCTATAGAAAACGGCTCGGAAGTCCAGTGCAATAAGCAATATTCTAAGTTTGTGATAATGCTCGGTACAGTCATATTGTTTTTGATACTATATAGACCAGTGATTCCCACCCACGGGTAAAGTTACCCTAAGGGTTACTTCTGCTGTGGCCAGCAACGATTGTGGAGCAACAACTCATTCGAAAAAAATTACAATTTAAGTCTCAATAGAGAGCTAAAGGTAATGGATAAATAGTGGAAATTGAATTATAGATACAGAAAATCGAGAAAAATTATAGAAAATAAATTGTTGGAAAGTTTAGTTCAAAAAATTATGAATGATTGAAATGCATAAATGGTTCAAAAAGTTAGCTAAAAATTGATAAATAGTTTAAACATCCAGCTTGTGCAACAAGTAGTACCAATGCAAGTTAAACAAACTGAAACCGTAGGCTTTCTTATATCATCCAGTTTAAAATCAATGAACACATTTGGAACATAACTGGTGGTGCTGATGAAGGGGAATTTGAGTTCATCTGACAGGACTGTGGGGAACGCCTGAAAAAAAAGTTGGGAACCACTGACATAGACAACAAAAATAGGCCTCAAATAATTTAAATTACAATATTGGTCAGAAAAACTCTAATTAGATATTTGCTTTTGAATAGTTTAGCTCCAATATAACATTTTTAGAGGCGAGGCACTGTCATGTTCACTAATTTGTTGTAATTTAAACAGAATCCTTCACTGCCTTGCCTCGTCTACACCTGTAGACATAAAACACTTAAAAAACTTATCAAACATCAGCAGGATCCTCCTCACTAAATTCTTTAGTCTGTGAAACATCCCACGACCAGCCGCTGAGGCGTGAAACATTATCATTTATAACAAAGAACTTTCTAAAATGATTGCTCTACCACTGCAGCGCTAATCTTATGTGGAATAATAAATGTCAAAGACATGGACATTTATATTATATTATATCTATATTAACCTGAGAACTTGGCATAGTTGTTCAACATCAATCTTCCTCATTGAGTGACATTATTCATTTGGAAATGTTCAAGGTTCAGTTTCATGAATCAAGTTTTCATCCTAATAAAAAACTTACAGTGATACAGAAAAATAAAGGCATCTAAGATATGAAAAAAGTTTATGATTTTTTGGTTCCAAAAAACATGATTTTATTTCCACTGCAAGACTGCCGAAGGCATTTTATTATTGGATCCCTTTGCTCCAGTTAAGCGGTAGTGGAGTATACTTACCTAGTGTGTTCACAGTGACAACCTCGCTGAAGGGGCCTGTGCCAAGCTTGTTCTGGGCCAGGACGCTGAACTGGTATGTTGTCTCTGGCTCCAAGCCGGGCACCACCATCCAACCGTGGCCTCCAGGCACGGATATGGAAAGCCAGTCATGTGGACCTAAACGCTCCCTCTTCAGCCTGTATGGGAGTCACGATGAGAGGTGAGCCCACAGACAGTAGATATTGGAAAGAAGATAGTGGGTGTGCCTTCACTTTTAGATACAAAAGTTAAAGTCTAAAGTCATTGTCACACAGTTTAGCGTATTGCAGCAGTTCTACTTCCATCATTGATCCAATATTATATCATTGAATTAAATATTTGCATCATGGATTTCTGACTTTTCACTTCATTCACAACACTTGATGGTAGTAAGCCCATGCTGCACTCAGCTTTGCAGTTTGCTGTTTGCCCATGCCACACATTAAGCGTTGACTGCACCTTGACCAAATGAAGCAGAACAGCGTACACATGCAGCAGCTGCAACAATCCGACTGTAAATGTATTTTATCATATGTAAACATGAATGAGAACTGCACACAGTACAGTTTTCAAGGTAGGAAGGTGTTTTTTTTCCCTAGTCTAAAATTGTGTTACTTATTAAAGGTTTTATATATATACTGTATATGTATATGAGGTTTAAAACATTAATATAGCAGCAAAGACCTATTTAGTATGTAATGATACAGCGGAGTCATGGTGTCCTGAACAGAGAATGATGTCACACTCCCTCTGCCGGTGTTGTTATTCCAGCTAGTCAGTGATTTGTTTAGAAATCTGGTCTGGCTGCTCATGCATGTTAGTCCCTCACTTTTAGTGGATGTATTTCGACAGGCACATTTATCCCCAAGGATTAGTTAACGTAACATGGCAGCCACAGCAGCCTATTTTCTCATTTAACTCTAAGGGTTTATTTCCACCAAACCAGCATTGGTGATTGTTGAAAAGACTGTTGAAAAGACTAAAGGCTCTTGTACACTCGCCGTTCCCGACCTGTAGTGCGACAATGTGACGTCACGGGAGCGCCG